GTCAGTGGATGGACATCAAACAGTATTAAATCACCTGGAACAACTGCCCTGAGTGAAAAACCTGCAACAGCACCTCAGCTAAATGAGCAAGACACATTGGTTCAGAGGGCAGAGCATATTCCAGCAGGAAAGCGTACTCCCATGTGTGCACACTGCAATCAAGTCATTAGGTTTGTATCTGTTTGCTGGCTCTGGGTAAAAAACTGACTGGATGGCCAGGCCTAGAGAGTGTTAATGAATGCAACTAAATCTAGTTGGCAACCAGTCACCAGGGTTGTTCCTCAGGGCTCAGTATTGGGGCCAGTCCTGTTTAGTATCTTTGTCAATGGTCTGGACTGGGATGGAGAGCAGCCTTAGTTTGCAGGTGACACCAAGCTGGGGGAGTGAGTGTTGATCTCGTGGTGGGCAGGAAGGCTCTGCAGAGGGATCTGGAAAGGCTGGCTTGGTGGGCTGAGGCTAATTGTTGGAGGTTCAATAAGGTGAAGTTCCAGGTCCTGCACTTGGGTCACAACAACCCCAGGCAGGGCTACAGGCTGGGGGAAGAATGGCTGGAAGGCTGCTTGGCAGGAAAGGACCCAGGGGTGCTGGTTGACAGCTGCCTGGACATGAGCCAGCAGTGTGGCCAAGTGGCTAAGAAGGCCAATGGCACCCTGGCTCATATCAGGAGTGGCCAGCAGGACCAGGGAAGTGATCATCCCCCTGTACTCAGCATTGGTGAGGCTACACCTTGAATCCTGTTGTTCACTTTGGGGCCCTTCACGACAAGAATGACATTAAGGTGCTGGAGCAAGTCCAGAGAAGGGCAACAGCTGGTGAAGGATATGGAGCACAAGTCTTATGAGGTGCAGCTGAGGGAGATGGGGTTGTTTATCCTGGAGAAAAGGAGGCTTGGGGGAGACCTTATTGCTCTCTATGACTGCTTGAAAGGAGGTTGTAGTGAACTGGTGGTTGGTCTCTTCTCCTGGATAACAAATGATAGGACACAGCCTCAAGATGTGACAGGGGAGGTTTAGATTGGATATTAGGAAAAATTTCTTCACCAAAAGGGTTGTTCAGCACTGCAAGAGGCTGCCCTGGGAAGTGTTGGAATCACCATCCCCAGAGGTATTCAAAAGACGTGTACATGTGGCACTTATGGACGTGGTTTACTGATGGACTGGGCAGTGCTGGATTAACAGTTGGGATTAATGATCTTAAAGGTCTTTTTCAACCTAAATGGTTCTATGATTCTATCCATCCTGCAGGCTCTCTCAAGCAGGGCTTTGTTTGGCTTTTCAGAACACTTTTCTAACTGGTTTATCTAACAAAACTGAGAATGAGAATCCTTTGGAGGAAAAACATTGTGAACAGTTAACAGTCACAGTCTTACAGCCCATTTTACAGAGAACTAGGAAGCTGGGTGGAATGGAACAAAAGTAAAACCAAAGAAAAATAAGCAAGTTATTTTTCACTTATACACCTATTCCAGTAGAACTGGGAGTATTAGCTATTGGAAACCAATCAGAAAATATAGTCTTATAAAGACTAGTCAAAAATACTGCTTTATAAACCATAATTTCTAAATCAGAAGAGGAATAATAGCTAGCTCCATCCATAGAAGAAAAGCAAAGAGTGATGTTTTAACAATTACTAGGACTGGATTAATAATAATTTCCTGCACTGTTAGATTTCAAGCTCTTTGATGGGCTCTCTGGCCTTTGGGTATTATGGTAGCTACTGTCCTTGATTTGTATGACATGGGTAGAGAATATTAAGCAATCCAAACACAAGTTTGCCAAATGAGATTAAGGTAAATAAATTCTGCTGAGCCTGTTATATATCCTATTATTAGCCAGAATTTTGTGTGGAGGAAGAATTGAATTTGTGTTGTATTGTTCAATCAGTGATTTCTGACAATTAGTCATGATTGTCTCATCCAGGGGACTGTAATTGCCTTTATTGTCAATGTGCAAATCATTCATATTTTTGTGTACCTTGCATTTTATTTCCTCCCTAAAATAGAGGTCTCCTGGGATTGTTGGAGGAAATGTATTCTTTAAAAGTGTTTTCTTCTTGCTTATTCAGTCATCTGTGTTGTTGAACTACATGAGTAAAGAATGCATTATAGTATTATTTTATTTATCTGTGGACAAAATAGGAGAGCCTGGGCTATGATTCACTATGGTTAAAGAAAGATTCATTTTTGATTAGGAAACATAGGTTCTGAAAAATGAGGAACTCTATAAGCTGTATAATTTTTATTCAGTATAATAGAAAATCAGCCTTTCCACCATGGGTTTTTGTACCCTTGAGTCCTGGCTTGGATTCTGCATCAGAAGAATATACAGGTAATGCAAATCACTTGATCTCTAGGGGTCAATTGAGTCCAGCTTGTTTACTTCCATTAGATTTCTGTTCTGATAGTTCACTATCAGTTCAATTAACATTGGGTTACTTTTACAAATTCCTAACACGAGTGCCCCTATGCATCTTAATCTGGTGGGTTTTTTTGCTTCATTGCAAAATGGAAGATTAATATCAGAAAGGTATACGCATTTTTGGGATGAGATTAATCTGATTTGTTGAACAGTTTGGCCAATATAATCATTCTGTCTGTCTTTAGTTTTCTGACCTCTTTGTTCCCTGGGCTTTGGATTTGTGTCTACTAAATAATATAAAAGCAACTATTCACTTTCTTTATTGTTACTGTTATTTTAATTTAAAACCAAATATGGAAAATCCACTATATGCTGAATCTTTAATGCAGGTGACTTCATTACCTTTTACAGCACCTGTGGTTTAGCAGGGTTCCCTGATGCTCTGTGCTGTGGGGTCTCACATCAGTCTGCAGATCTCTTCTGAGCAGCCAGCCTCTCCTCTTGGCCCTTAAATCACTTTCTGCTACTCCAGGCTTTACAGCTTTGATCACCATTAAAAAAGAGATGATCTGCTGCCCTGTAAGTAGGGGAGTGTATTGGTCTGTGGAGCAACATTTACTCCTTAGTAAACACAACAGGAGAAACTGCAGAGCCCGTTTGACAGCACTTAAGCCATTGTCACCTATTGTAAAGTGACACCTCTTCATGAATAGTAACTGATACCCATGTCTAACTTCTTTGTAATTTGCTGGTGGTGCTTAAATCCTTATATTTCTTCATATGTTAAATGCCAACTCAATTATTAAAAGCAAACATTCTTCCATTTGAGGATGAGTTGATGTGCATTAATCAATGCCAAATATGGCTCGTGTTCATGGCATACAGTGAATTTGGAAAATTACAATGGCATTCTGAATTCAAGTTTTAGCATAATTACACTTCATGCCCTCAGTATTAGCATTACGTATGAAAAGGTAGGAGGAAGATCAAGTGACATTGCATTGTACATCTCTTTTGAGGCCAAAATGCATTCTGGAGTTGGTTACTTTACACTCAGGCATAGAGTAACCATGGCTGGTTGAGCCAAAACCCTTCTTAGAGACCCCTTATAATTTTTTAATATATCTTTAATTATTCAGACAGCAATTGTCTGAAGGTTCCATTTTTTTTCCGGAGCTTCATTAAGTAAGCTTTTCTTTCCATGTCTAAAAGAATCAAAGCTGGAGGCAAAGTAAATTTATCTTGATCTACTCGCTGTGACGGTCTGGCAGTCTTCTGGCATTTCCTGATCAAGACTTCTGGTTCCCAGGCAGCCTTACCAAGCTCTGCACTGCAGAGTTGGCTCTTCCTTTGGAGCCCGAATATGTTTTCCCTGGATGTCCTTTGAGAACATACTCTTTGGCATGAATGGTTGTGAATGATGATTTGGCTTTGTCACATTTTCATTAACCTTAATTGTTTTTAAAGGCAAAAGGGAAAAAGTAAAAATGGTGCTTCCCTTCAGCATCTCTTATACAGAAATTGTATATTGTGGCATTTTCAAGTGAGGAGAAGAAGAAATGTCCCAGAATGTCGACTGCTGTATGGTTAACTGTAAAGCGATCGGCATACTTAGCAGATGTGGAAATCTTTTTGATCTCTCTAGCACCAAATTTCAGTTCTGGCTTGATGTCATAATACAAGCCACAAGAGGAACTAGATTATTGGCATACTAGTATAATACATCGTGACTATACTGATGAAGTTATATTTAGTTACAGGTGTTAAGACAGGGAAATTGCACTTATATTCCCTGTACGTTACTTGTCCTTCCAATTTGCCCCAATGTCATTGCCACGTGCAGAACCCAAATGTTTGAGGTGGCTACCAAATTTATGTACCTGGTGATCCTTTGGGGCATAGGATCCTGTTGTAAATTAATCAGAATCCCTTTAAAAAAATAATAAATCAATTGCTAATTTGTGTCCATCTGGGAGTTCAGTTCACATGGTCTATATGATGATGCCAGAAATTTTTTGAGAAATGTTTAGCACATCCCAATAGCCTGGGATAGAGCCATAATCATAGCCAACTGCTGCCAGTTGGGTCATCCCGTATCTTTGGATAGCGGGAACATTTTTTTAGCACTACCTTTAAAAATATATTCTAGTTGACAGAAGCATGTGGGATTTTTATTGGTATTGTTTTTAATTGGGAAAGAAAGAATTAGGTCATCTGCAGCTATCTTCCTTGCATTTCATCCCCATACTAATTCCTGTCTCGTTTCATGAGGGTGAGCATGCGATCCCCTTCCTCAAACAGGGAGCGTAAACTCTTTTTCAAATTAACATGCCAAATAAATACCTTTCATTACTGGAATCTATCATTTTGATGGCAAAAAAATATAGAGACCGGGAACACTTGCAAGTTCTGAATATCATGGTTTAGTGTATTTTATGTGGCAGATAGGGGGTTTTGTTGCATTTTGGGTTTTTTTTCCCCTTTCTTCCACACGCTTTGGTGCAGCTTTTAAGTTGCAGGTATCCTTAAACTGTAGTATCAGCTTGACATGTTTAAACTATCACCTGATTGAAAATAAAGTTGTATTTAGAAAGTGTTCTTCTGGACATGTGTGCACAGGGAGCCAGTGCACTAATGGAACACCTCACAGACATTGTGCAGGGCACAGCTCCAGCTGTCTGGGGACTTTGGGACAGGAGCTCTGTAGGTGCATTCCCAGGCTGTTCCCATCTGTCTGGGTTCCTGCATGCTGTCCTGAATGGCTAACCTCAGTGTGTCAGGGCTGTAAACTCTGGAGAGCTAAATGCAGCAGATGTAAGGATTCCTTTCCCTCCCATCACTAGCATATTTGCTTTCCATTGCAGAATCAACTGAGCCTAGCATTTCACTGCAGATGGCCAGAAATTCAATCCTACCTGGAGCTGGGAGAGCCTCTTTGGTGTCAGCCCTGTGTTAATGAATCTGTTAAATTAGCCTGTGCTGACACGGCGCACTGAGAGCACTTTGTTGTACATAAGGGCTTGTATTGTTTGATCAGTACATAACTGAAAGGGCATTGATGTAAAAAGGTGCTTGTAGAGCGGTGGGAGGGTATCGGGTTAGGTCAGTGTTTGCACTGCTAGGCATCCTCTGGGAGCAGGGGCTGAAGAGCTGTGCTCAATCCCAGCTCCCTTCTTAAAGGGCTACAAGCTGCTCTCCAGGAGCTGTTTTTCACTGCTTTCTCTCCAATAATCAGAGGTGAATAGAGGAAAGTGGTTCAGGTTAAATATGTTCATCATCTTACAGCATCCTAAATCTGTCGGAGTCCTTTATATTTGTCTTCTCATCCTGTTGAAAATGCATAGCATCTCCAGAGAAAATGTGGAAGAGAAATAAAAGTAATTACCCCTACCCTTAATGAAGTTGCCTTCTGTCCTCTGCCTGCTTGTATTCCCATCTTAGTGTCAGCATAGCCCTGGAAGCACATTTCAAGGTGTTTTATTGGTTTGGGGGTTTGTTTCTTTCTTTCTTTCTTGATGTTGCTTTGTTCATATGAAAATCTTACACAAAATGTCTTTATAGCTTACTTGATTTCCAAAAAAAGTGTTTAGCAGCAGGGTGATGATACTAGTACCTTACGCTTTTTTGCAGAGAAGTATTAAGTCAGAAAAAAAGTGATGCATTACTGGAAAGAATGACATCTTTATTATCCTGCAAAAACAGGAAATCTGATGAGGGCGATGAGTTTGAATCACAAAGTTCACCTGAAACCTAAATTCTGTAAGGTTGAGTGTTGGTGGGACCTAGGAGGCACATCATTAAAGTAAATACACTCATTAAAGAAATTCACGTGCTGAATATATTTTCAGTTGAATACAGAGACAATGGCCTGTAACTGGGATTCATCAGTTACAAACCGAAAATTTTACTGATGAGGGCGATGAGTTTGAATCACAAAGTTCACCTGAAACCTAAATTCTGTAAGGTTGAGTGTTGGTGGGACCTAGGAGGCACATCATTAAAGTAAATACACTCATTAAAGAAATTCACGTGCTGAATATATTTTCAGTTGAATACAGAGACAATGGCCTGTAACTGGGATTCATCAGTTACAAACCGAAAATTTTATGAGAACAGTTGAATACAGAGACAATGGCCTGTACCTGGGATTCATCAGTTACAAACCAAAAATTTTCTTGACTGAGAAATGGGTGAATTTATATTTTTTTATTACTTGTGTTGCATTAGCCAGACAAATGCTATTAGAAGCATTGTTATTTACATTTGCAAACGATAGAGAGAATTCTGTATTTGGAGAAAAAAAAAAGACCTATTTTAACTGCAAAAACATCCTTTTATACCTGGGATGGGTTATCCTGTAATGTCTTGTTGGACAGGGGCAGTGATTGAAGTTTTGTCTTAGAAGAAACCGAACTTAGTGGCTCCTAGTGGGGTCAAGTCTCCTTTTAGCCTTGTTAGAAATACACTCTGAAAGAGAGCTGATCGTATCACTAAGTCAAGGATCTCTTTGCAATAAGTGGAAATAATTGGGAACATAGGAAACATTATTTTTCTTCTTCACTTCTCTAGCAGACACTTCACTGTATTTAATGTAGTTCCAAAATAAGATTTCTAAAATACAGTGAAGCGAAGAGAAATAGTACTTATTTTGGACAGGCATTTCTAGGAGATAGTGCAGTGGGAATGGATGAAGTGAAGACTCGATACTTTCATAGAGTCATAGAATCAATCAGGTTGGAAGAGACCTCAGAGATCATCAAGTCCAGCCCTACTTTCTTAGAGCCTGTAGGAGGAATGAGGGATGGAGCAGTATATGCGTATGAACAGTCTTGCAGGATCCAACCCAGGTGTATTTGCTGAAAATATCTTTTCTTTCTAATCAGAGGACCCTTCTTGGTGGCTTTGGGGAAGTCATGGCATCCGGAGGAGTTTAACTGTGCCCACTGCAAAACCTCCATGGCTTACATTGGATTTGTGGAAGAGAAAGGGATGCTGTATTGTGAGGTCTGCTATGAGAAGTTCTTTGCCCCTGAGTGTTCAAAGTGCCAGAGGAAGATCCTTGGGGTAAGTGACCAGCCAAGTGGCCTGTTTTTTGGTGGGAACAATAGCCAGTGTTCAGTGCTTCTCTGCAACGAAATCCCCTTTTTTTCTGGCCTAGTCTGCAATCTTCCAAGAATACTCTTGATGTATCTTTTCAGCTCATATCACATAGAGAATGTGTTTTTCGCTTTTCTAATGTTGAACCTTTTCAGTCTCTGAGAAAAGGTGCTGTAGTCTCCTTGGCTCTTCCAAGTTCAGCTCCTGTTTTCATGATGCTGCTCTGTAGCTATTGTGATTACCAAATTTTCTTGAGCAAAACGCTTTTGATTGGCAGCTTTTTACAGAATGGGGAGGGAGGGGAGTAAAAATAAATAATTCTCCTTAGCTGAGCTGAGCACTGAAGAACATGCTGGTTGCCTAGATGTAGAGTACTGAAATATTCCCAGTGGTAATGTACAGAAAGATGTGTTATCCTGCTCGGCACTGATATTGCTAATTTGAGCCTGCCAGCTGATTTGGCTGCCATTTTAATGCAGACTGCAATGTGTCTGGACTCTTGTATAACTGGGGTCATGCAGGGCTCTGGCAGCACAATTCTCAAGTCATTTTTGGCACTGTAGCATCTTCCAAAACAGCACAGAGCACTCATAATTTTCTATGTGATGTCTTCTGGTTAACTCTTCACAGAGTTGAAGAGAAGTTGGAGATGCTGCTTTTTTCTTATTTTGAGGGACCGTTGTGGGTTGAGATACTTAGTAAAATTTAAAAAGTGAAGAAATGAGTTTTTAAATCTGTCCAACTCTCCACTGAACCTTCAAAAAAAAAAAACCCAAAAGATTGCTTATGAAAAATAAGGAGATATACCATAAATAAAGTACCTCATTAAGTTTAACAACACAGAACTTGCATGCACAACCCGTTTTCAAAGTAGCAGTAGGAAACAAAGTATTCTTGAAATGAATCAAGTATGGAGGCATGGTTAGCACAATCTACTCATCACATCAAAATAATGTGTCCATAACACTTTTTCTGATCCCCACAGGAAGTAATAAATGCTTTGAAGCAAACTTGGCACGTTTCCTGCTTCGTGTGTGTGGCCTGTCATAACCCCATCCGCAATAACGTCTTCCACTTAGAAGATGGTGATCCCTACTGTGAAACGGGTAAGAAGCAACACAACCAAAGTTTACTGCAGCTATGCAGGGAAGCAGAGCTCAATAAGGTTGGAAAAAAAATTTCTTTTTCTCAAGCATCACATTAGAAGTGTCTCAGCAAATTCATGTAACTTTGATATGTCAATTCAAAGCAGCAAAAAATGCTGTAGAAACTTGGAGTTTGCAGCAGGAGAAGTTGGTAAGATTTTTTTTTCCATTGGCTTTGGCAGCATTATGCTTCTTGGCACTGATTTTGCCTTTTCCTTTTAAGTCCTTAGCTGTAGGTATTAGTGATACAACAAAGTGTTAATTTTAGGGTGACTTTCTGGTTGGCTTTAAAATAATCTGAAGTTTATGTTAATCTGCTTATTTACTAAACACAAGTGAATGCCAGTAGAGTAATATGTTTTAGTCTGAATAGTCTTATTCACAGCCTGAGAGACTTCCAAGAGTAAGCAGTCTGTCCAGGTAGCTTTTTACAGGATCAGGGATAACATCTGTTTAATACAAGCTCGGGATAAAAAAACCCCAGGCTGTCAAGGGAAAAATACAGTGATATAATTATGGCACTTGAAAGCCTGATGAGCAATATTACATGAATGACGTGGCTCAGGGATTCTGGTTTGGTTTTAGCACTTCCAGCTAATCATAACTTTTTTCATAGAATCATAGAATAGTTTGGGTTGGAAGGGACATTAAAGATCATCTACTTCCAACCCCCCTGCCACAGGCAGGGACATACTCCAGTAGACCAGGTTGCTCAAAGCCCCATCCAACCTGGCCTTGAACAGTTCCAGGGCTAAGGCATCCACAGCTGCTCTGGGCAACCCTCACAGTAAAGAATTTGTTCCTAATATCCAATCTAAACCTACCCTCTTTTAGTTTAAAGCCATTCTCCCTTGTCCTGTCACTACATGCCCATGTAAAATGTCCCTCTCCAGCCTTCTTGTAGGCTTCCTTCAGGTACTGTGAGGCTGCTGTAAGGTCTCTTTGGAGCTTTCACTTCTCCAGACTCAACAACCCCAACTCTCTCAGCCTGTCTTCACAGGAGAGGAGCTCCAGTCCACTGAGCATCTTTGTGGACTCCTCTGGATTTACTTCAGCAGCTCCCTGCCCATCCTATCTTGGGAGCCCCATAGCTGGATTGCAGGACTCCAGGTGGGGTCTCATGAGAGCAGAAGGGCAGAATCACCTCCCTCAACCTGCTGGCCACTCCTCTTGTGATGTAGCCCAGGAAATGATTGACTTTCTGTACTGCAAGCACACATTGCCAAGTCATGTTGAGCTTCTTGTCAACCTATTACTATTAATATGAACAATTTTTATTTATATTGATTTCCTAATTTGCTTTACAGTTTCCATGTACCCTTCTGGGCTAGGAAAGAAATAGATCATTTGTAAAACACTTCCCACAAAGTACAAAAGAGAAAATTGTATCAAAAATAACTGTTTTCACACTGCATGCTCTTTACATCTGTGTTGGAACTGTCAGTTCATAGAATCATAGAATTTTAGGGGTTGGAATGGACCTTACAGATCATCTAGTCCCAACACCCTCTGCCATGGGCAGGGCCATGTTCCCACTAGACCAGATTGTTCAAGGCCTCATCCAGCCTGGCTTGGAACACTGCCAGGGTTGGGGCAGCCACTACCTCCCTAGGAAACCTGTTCTAATGTCTCACCACCCTCACAGTAAAAACCTTTTTCCAATTATCTAGCCTAAATTTCCCCTCCTTCAATTTGAATCCGTTATTCCTTGTCCTATCACTGCAGTTCTTAACAAAGAGTCCCTCTATGGCTCCATTGTAGGCCCTCTCCAGATACTGATAGGCTACTATGAGGTCTCCACACAACCTTCTCTTCTCCAGGCTGAACAGCCCCAGTTTCCTCAGCCTGTCCTCATAGGGGAGATGCTCCAGTCCTCTTATCAACTTCATGGCCTCCTCTGGACTTGCTCCAACAGTTCCATGTCCTTCTTACGGTGAGGGCACAAGAACTGTGCGCAGTATTCCAGATGGAGTCTCAGAAGAGCAGAGTAGAGGGGAAGAATCACCTCTTTTGACCTGCCAGCCACACTCCTGTGGATGCAGCCCAGGATTCAATTGGCTTTCTGGGCTATGAGCGCACACTCCTGGCTCAGTGTGAGTTTCTCAGCCACCATTATGCTCAAGTCTCTCTCCTCATTGCTGCTTTCAATTCCTTCCCCACCCGACCTGTAGCTGTGCCTGGGATTGCCATGGCCCAGATGTAGGACCCTGCACTTTATTTTGTTGAACTCCTTGAGGTTTGCATTGTTCCACCTCTCAAGCCTGTCAAGGTCCCTCTGGATTAGCACAAAATTCTAATGACCTCTTTGAAGCTAAGATTTCTTTCTGGGCCAGTCCCACAATTGTTTGCAGCAAGTGCCATGGAGAGTGCTAAATACTGTAAGGATAAGGAAAGAAGGCGAATTTTATCCAAAATTTCTTTTGTCAGAGCTGATTTAATGAGATGTTGGCAGATACAAAGGGCGTAGTAGGTTATTGCTAACTTGGTGACCCAGCCTGGGTAACGTGTTGCTCCTATTGAATTCGTGGAGCAGCAGAGGAAATGGGTGTGCAAACAGCATCCTCCAGTGTGACAGCATGGTGAAATTTCATCCGGGAGCAATCTGAAGCCCCTCATCTTGGAACTATTTGATGATTCAAAAATAGTACTGGAGGGATCAATAACTCCCCTTTGGGTGGAAAGATTTTGACCAGGTTTGTTCTGTTACTGTTCAATTCTTGTTTCTGCCACCAAATGACCTGTATGTTGTGCAGTGCATTGATTTGTGCTACTGTTACAACTCCCGTGCATAAATATGCATTTTTCTCTTATGTGGGCAGGAAAAACTGATAAAATGTCAAGTATACTACACTTCTTGCAAAGTTTATTTCTGAGATAGAAAGTTGCTAGCACAAGTTTATGGAGACACATTCTGTGAGGTGTTATTGGCAGGTTACTGTGTAATGGCTCTGGCTCTCTAACTAGATGTTAATTTGAGATGTATTAATTCTTCAAAGGTTTTCAGTCCAGCTGGAGTTAAGAGTCTATGACTAATTTTAAAGAAATAAGGAGTAAATGTCATTGCCAACTTTCCTTCTTCCTAGTGTAAAGGAAGGTTCTAATTTTAAATGTGTAGATGAAATTATAACAGCATCAGCTATTAGTATTAAGGGGGGTTAAGCTGCAGAATGTTCTGGGTTTGGATTTTGAGGCTAAAATTAAATTAAAAGTCCAGAAATCTATAACTTTGAACTTCTTTTAAGTGCAGAGTCAGTAACCTAGTTTTGAAAATGCTGTATGCAGGAAGCATTGATGTGTGAGTGTATGAGAAGTTTGCTTTGGTATGATTCTGTGGTATCACAATCCAAGCATACAAAAGCAAAAGGAAGCTGATGCCCTTCATTCTGCCTTATCTATTGCCCTTTCTTCAGAAGAAAAGCCAATAAACTTATCAACACAAACCACAGGCCAACTTACAAAAGGCTTTAACTACTGACACCACAGAAATATCAGTAAGATTCTGTATTAATGCAAATGCAAAGAGCTGAAACAGAATGGCCATGAGATCATGTCCTTCAGGGGCTTTGCAGAGGTGTGTCCTACCATTTGATATTTTTGTTGTTTTTCTTTGGCTTAAACATCTGCAAATTTATCCCGATAGCATGGATTAATGAAGGTGATCAGTGAAGCTGTTTCTTGCCAGTGGAAGCTGTCAAGGGCTTTGCGTTTCCAGAGGACTTGTGTTCCCCATCCTGTTGAGATGTCTCCTATGATGATACATTTTGAGGGAGGTCATCATGCAAAACGTCATTTTAATAGAAAACCAGGACGTTTCTCTTGGGTTTAACACTTCTGAAAATCCTCTGTTGGCTCTGCTGCAGTAAACTCTAGAGCTTCAGCAGATCTGTATAATCTAGTAGAGAAACAAAATCTACCCTGCTTGACACCCTTTGTAAGTCTTCTTTGAAAACAACCACAGTATCTAATTTCCCTGTCAGAGGAAAAGTGTTACTCTGGTAGTAACACTGTTATTGGTAATGGAGTTCAAAACTTCATTATACTTGGCACTCTGTCTGTAGTTCATCTTAAAAGGACATGATGTTCTCATGTTACAGTACTAATGCTGTTGTCTTCTGTGCAGAGTAAATCATTTCCTTCCTAGAATGGGGTGTTTAAGAGTTGAAATAAGTGGAAAAGACCAGATAACTTGGGCTGAAATTTAGGCCTGCACAGATGGACTGCAAAGGGATGTGGTGATTTGTAGCCCCTGGGATGGGGTGAAGTGAGTGTCACACACCAATACTGTGGGGATGGGGGTGGGTTGTCAGTGCCTCCTGCCCAATTTTATACATATATTTTATCTCCTGTTAGGCTGTTCTGCTCTCATTCAAGCTCTGCAGTCAGTGGAGCATATGCACAGTTTAGTGCCATTTGTTTTAGTGCCTGCTCTCTGAGACTCCTGGAGGAGCTTTCTTTTGTTGATTCTCAGGGAGCCTCCAAAGGCACCAAGTCAATCCAGTGCTTAAAAGTGAATGGTGCAGATAGAGAGTCTCATCACTAATAGCCATCCTGACACCCTACTGATACTTTTGGTTAAATGTATTAAATATATTGCATAAGGCCTCTGGTTTGGTTTTTATTTCTTTGGCAGGGGGGTTGTTTGCTTGGTTTGGAGTGGTTTTTTTGGGTTTTTTTTCTTTTCTTTTAAAAGCCATTTAATAAACTCAAGTGACTAGAACAGTATTCTAACAACTCAAATTTCTCGACTCTGTTTCGGACAGAAGCCTAGTGATTACATGAGTTTGAGTAGTGCAGTCTGGGGCAAATATTGTGCCAGAATGTAGGCAGGAGTTCATTTCTTGCTGAGGAGGTCTGCCATGTGAACAGCTGGGGTGTGCTTTCAGAGCAGAGCTGGGGAGATCATAAGGAGCACGGAGAGTTCGCACAGGTGCTCTGCAAGGAGTGCATCTCCCCCTCCCCGAGAACACTGTTATCTCAAGGAAATGAAACACCATGAAGATGGAAGCATGGCTTACTTGAAAGGCTGAGGAAGGGGGTGAGAACTGAATTTGCAAGGAGAGGGTTACATCCGAGTCTTTGGGTCTAGGAGCCCTTTATTCAGTGTACTCAGTCTTACAAAACTCAGCAAGTCACAAACACACTGCCTCTGAAATAAAGGTACAAAGGTTTCAAATGATGAGTCTTGCTTTTCTGTGTATGTTTTAAAATCTATTTGTTTCTGTTTGCAGATTACTATGCCCTCTTTGGTACTATGTGCCATGGCTGTGAATTCCCCATTGAAGCTGGAGACAGGTTTCTTGAAGCTGTGGGCCACACTTGGCATGACACTTGCTTTGTATGCTCTGTAAGTAAAGCTAGTCTACATTTTAAACAGACCCATGGCAGGAGTGCATGTGCTAACCTGACCCATATGGGAGTTAACAGCTCTAACCTCTTTGAATCCCCTGAACCCAAACAAAAAGTGCTTTCCCAGTTATAAGGAAGGTGTGTTGCTATCCTAAGCCTTTGGCACTGCTCCGAGAGAAGTTGTCCTGGATTGCAGCCATATGTCCTTGTATTTAACCCTTGATATTTATTTCCTCAGAGCAAGCATTGAAGGTCATACAGGAGTGGGCTGTGTTTCCAGAGTAGCAAGTGTGCTTTTGACATAAAGACACAGTAGCCAAGGCATCGCCTGCTAATATTATATGAACAAAAAAAAAAAAATCTTAAGGTTGGGGTTATTTTTAAAATGCTGAACCTAACTCTGCTTCCAGTTAAGAACCTGTTGTCTAAAAGAAAGATTATGCTTACATCAACTACTAGTATTATATTAAAAAGAGTATCACTAAAAAAAGGTAATTCTTATTCTTTGAATGTATTTGTGCATAAAGCAATAACATGACTTGGCATTCTGAATAATTATGGTGTAATTCATCCATCTGAATTGGGTGATCTTTTTTTTGTTATCCCATTTCAGGTATGTAATGACAGTTTGGAGGGTCAGACTTTCTTCTTCAAGAAGGACAAGCCACTGTGCAAGAAACATGCTCACTCCATCAACATCTGATGCTTGGAGCTTATCTTGTGTAACAAATGTACTAAGCAAAAAAGTGAAAATGTCCATGTTCAATAATTGGTTTAAATTATTTAGATAAAAGTTTTCTAAAATGGGAGAGAGATGTGGAAACTTGCAGAAGGGATTGTATGCTAATTTCTCAGAGCATTTATCATTTAAAGCTTTGCTTCATAGAAAGAGAGGACTCGGGAATTGCACCCAAGCCAAACAATTAGAGTGCCTTTACCTCCACACATAGCACATTACTGTATGGGTTTCATGATTTTATGACCACATTTATATCTGTTTCAGTATGAGAAGTGAAGTGTCTATAAATACCTGATATTAGAAGTCTTGGTTTTGCTGCTATTCAACAAATAAAAGGAGATTGGCTTCAGCAATCCAGATCCCTTTACTGCAGTGCTGTTTTTAAAATGTGTCTGGAAGAATTGTGGCTAAATTATTGGCTTCAGCAATCCAGATCCCTTTATTGCAGTGCTGTTTTTAAAATGTGTTTGGAAGAATTGTGGCTAAATCCCATGAAAAGGAGCTCAAAGCAAAGATAAGATTACACAGAGTGTCTAGTTCAACATCTAATATTTGTATCTGATACCCATATACATGAAGCCTCTCACACAATTACATGTACTGGTCTGTGCCTTTGCAATTAAATTTCTGATGGGTTTGCAAAGGACAGTTTTTTACAAAGCAGTTAAGTGGAGCAGTGGCTATGCTGATGAACAGGAATAGTATAGAAGATGCCACTTAGAAGAAAACATAAATGGAAGGAAAATAAACTCTTCTTTAACTCATGTGCTCCCAGAACACTAACCAAAAAACCTGCTGCTGAAGGTGTGTTTGACAGGATGGAAATGTCAGCTCAGATCTTAAGGGAGCAGGAATTTACACTCTTATGTTTGCAGTTCAGATTTTAGATAGCTTGAAGTGCCTTGGAAAGGGGAAACTGCACTGAATCTGCAGGTAACAGTGTTTTATATCCAGAACATGAAGCTCTGGTGTTGAATGAGGGAAACTTCTGAAGTGCAACTGTGGACATTGTTTTTCTCTTAGTACATTCTTTACCATGTAGCTGATGAAAATGTGTATTGGGGGTGTGCCAGGTAGCGTACTGAAAACTTCACTTTCTTGCTCAGCCATTATGATTTCTATTACCTGAGGTTTTATTTCTCTCTTTTCTTCCAGATGTAGGAAATATATTGTTGAATAATATTATATCGAGCGAGGCAGCTCAGTATCTCTCAGACCTGGCAAGGGAGCAGAGAAACAATGCTGTCACTATGCATTTAGTGTCCAATTCTGTGGCTTGATATGAATTTTGCATCCACACAGATTGTCAGCACAAGACCTGGGCACCAGTTAAGTCCCACTTAGCTTCAAATTAAGGCTTAATTGGTATGGAACAATTGTAAGCAGATAGGGAAGAGGTGGTGCCCCTCTGCATGGGGTGAATTTTGCTCCAGCAGAATTACACAACAGAGAAGGGGACCCTCTTGGGACCAGAGCAGATTCCTGAAGGAAACTGAATTTACATGCTATTTTATTCAACTCTAATGTCAGAGCTGATCTGTTAGTCTTTAGTGCTCTTTCCAGTAGATACTAAAAATAACCATTTACTGGTATTGTTGTTGTGGGGTGGGATTTTTTACTGATAAAAAGGATAGTTTTATCCATAAAACCAAGGGGGGAATCATAAAAACTTGCCAGGGTCAAGTAAAGCATTTGTAATGGGGAACATTAACAAAAGAGAAGAAAAGAAAACCAAAATTTCTGTATTGAAATATCAAAAGATATTTGTCTTTCTTATTAGTTCAGCGAGATAGGCTCACATTGTGAGGCTGTTTCACTTTATTTCCTGAAGTTGTTTTTCTTCAATACTACCATGTTTCTTTCTCTTAACTTCTGGTGGTACAGAAGAAATTTGGTAAATAATTGGTAAATATGAAGAAACTTGGTGGTACGGTCTAAAGCTGTTTCAAATGTTTACACTCTTGTCGATGTACCCTTTTCTGAGTTCCCTGAAAATGAGAAGGGTAGAAGCAAACTGGACAAGTTATGGTAATATATAAGCCAGGTTGCTTTTGAAATGAAGTGGAATGTGGAGAAATGAAACCTAGAGACTAGGTTTCAGTGGAGCTATATTGCACATGTCTGGGGAAAGAGGATGGAAATGGGCAGGATAAGGTGTTCAATAGTTTCTGCAATTCAAATCTTGCTGTTTTAACATAGGATATAAACTTCTCAGTTTGTCATTGTCTTTAAAATCCAATTCAGTTTTGTTTAGTTGGATAATTTTAATTGGAATTATATTTTTTAATCCACATGCTCTAGGGTTTGAAATTTTGCAGTTGTTAATGAATGTGAGGACAAAAGCCTGAAAGGCTCCAATAGAACTGCTTCATTTAGCTGCTTTGCCTTTTAATTTCTGCTTTTATCTATTTGTTTAAAATTTAAAAAGAAGCATAGAGTCACTGATACATAATGAATATTTAATGGCTTTACCAAATTATATAAATCAACTAAAAGGAACATAATTTTTATCATTATTTTAATAAGTGGGATTTTAGTAGAGCACTTTATAATAATGCCATCTATCTCACTGAATATTTATTATCTCTTTTTTTTGTTTAAGACTATTTCATCCTGTTATCTTTGTATTTTGTGTTATTTGTAAGCCTGCCTTTACCTCTAGTATCTTTTGGCATGTGAGTATGTGTATGTGTTTTATGTACTTCTTTATACATGCACATATATGCATGTACATTGAGAGACATACATATAGATGCACATATACATATGTTTATTTGAATGCAGACTTGACATAGCAAAAATCAACACCATTCCATCATTGCTTGAGGATTTCATGAGATTCCCAACTGCTTTTCATACAACACATGGACAGCATTCATGTTTTGAGGGAACATTAGAAAGTCAGGAGAGACATGTTAGTAACCTAACTACTGTAGCTTTTTGCAGCATTTTCAGTCAGTAATTATTTTTTCTTCCAAAACTTCCAGTAAGAGAATTGGGTTTAATTCTGTTTGAAGGTAGAAGGTCTTTATAAGTGAATAATTGATTCATGATGACAGTTTCAGTATATCGCAACTAAATAATTCAGAATTATGTGTAAATAGAAATGCTTAATATAACAATGCAATAAACTTAAAAGCAAAAGTTGACTTGTGGTTCAGTGTGTGTTGGTCTGTCCAGTTGTGTACCTATTTGCATCATCTAGCCACGTGAGCTGCTTTGCAAGGTTTGTTTTGTGCTGAACTACCAGCTGTTAATTCCTGGTGTTTTCTTTGCTTATGTTTAATAATCTTTGGCATCAAATTTTGACTGTTCATGTTTGCAGATTTAATGATAATTGAAAAACGTAACAGTCGATTAAACCCTTCTCAAACCCTGAAATACTTTTTGCAGATTTAATGATAATTGAAAAACATAACAGTCAAATAAACCCTTCTCAAACCCTGAAATACTCTATATGTTCTCAGTTAGTTTGTGGTTGTTGAATGTTTTCTTTTCCTGAATCATAGTCAGTAAAAGAAAGTCATGATTGCACACCTGAATGGATATCATTCGTGCTGCTCTTCAGGTTTGTTAGGTTTTTTTAGAAGGGAGGTTTGTTTTACAGAAGAGGATCTCAGGGTGCCAGTGGACACCAAGTTGACCATGAACCAGTGATATCCCTTTTGTGACAAGGAAGATCCTTGGCTTCCTAGGGTCCATGAGCTGGAGCAGTTCCAGCAGACTGGAGAAGGTGATCTTGCTTCTCTGCTCAGCCTTGGTGAGGCACCTGGTGAGCTGAGTTCAGTGCTGGTGTTACCAGTACAAGAGACATGGCCATACTGGAATGAAGAGCTAGGATGATGATTAGGGGTGTGGAGCATCCGTCATACGTAGAGAGGCTGAGAGAACTGGGACTGCTCAGCCTGGAAAAGAGAGAGGGTTCAGGGGGATCTCATAGATGTATCCAAGTACCTGGATAGGGGTTTAAAGAAAATGGAGCCAGACTTGTTTCAGTGGTATGTAGTGACACGACAGCTGTGAGGCTGGTCAAACACTGGCACAGGTCACCCACAGACACAGTGGAGTCTCTCTACTTGGAGATACTCAAAACCCAACTGGACACAGCCCTTGGACTAGTCAAGGTCCCTTCATCTCCTTCAGGTTCCTTCCAACCTTGCTTAGTCTCTGATATTCTATCTTTTCTCAAGATGGAATGAAAGAGGTAAGTACTATGTTGAATAATGTAGAATAGATAACGATGTACAATTCTATATTGGCCAGTTACTGTCTATTTGCTATCTTTACTTCAATCTCCCACCCCTCTAGAGTACTTTGAAATATTTGTTTAGAAGTGTTTAATGTTTTATTCTAAGTTGACACTGTCCAAGGTAATACTGCCTGCTCTGGCAAGCATTATCTGATACTGTACTTAGCCTTGTCATGCAGCAGTCTCCATTTTCACTGTGGGATACATAAGTGTCTACTATAACATGGCCAATTACTTCATGATAATATACCACCCTGGTAAGAATCTCCTTAGCTGAGGATCTCTTAACTAGACAAATGTGCTGTTTTCTACCTTTATTTACACAAGCAAAGGAAAACACTGCACACAGCTCTATAAAATTTAGGGGCAACTTTACAGAAAACTTGCCTCCCCTTCAGTGTTTAGGCTATGAACAAGACAAATGCAAGTCTATTTGCAAACAGTATATTAAGCTCCAGAAGCCAAACTTTTAAAGGCATCAAGTCTGCATTTGACATTTTAATGGCAAAGGTTTGGTTTCTATCAATCACAACGTCATGTAACATTAAAATGAACTGACAAAAAAAAGAGCTCTGTCATTTGTTCATTAAGATGCTGTAATCCAGTGTAAGATTTATAGGCTTAAAACTCAATGGTGTGTATTCACAATAAATCCACTTTCACTGCTCAGCACAGAACAAATCTCTCTGTCACTCAAAATGGTTGCTGGTCAAAATGCCCTGTATAAGATCTTCAAAGGATTTCTCACAAAATTGCATATAAATCCTTTTACCAGCAAAGGCTTAATTTAGGTTTGAGTTTTACTTGCTTGGGACATTGGTTAATATCTTGTGCTCAGACAAGATCTTGGTTATATCA